GGTACCTCAGGGTCACCCCTGATTAATTTAGATAGTGCAGGGAGTATCCAAAAAGGCTTACAGTTCGAAAATAGTTGAAAATCAGCCTGTTCAACATCTGTGCCATTCTGCATATCATGGTACCATGAGATCTCGCTTCGAGTTTCGTCCAAAGCATCTACGACCATCTAAGACCCATATCTCAACGATCATCCCCTTCTCGCATTGGCCGCATCGCTCGAACTCACTGGTGGCCACGATGTCGCGCAGTGATGTCCCGTGCTGGAACTGGGCACCTTTTGCTCGGCGTCTTGGTAGCCAGCATCTTGGTAGAAGACCAGGCTGCCATTCCGCACCTGGGATCCGCTCGTCGGGCACTTTTGGAGAGCGATGGCCGGAGCTGGAAGTGGGCGATGGCCGGAAGTGGGTCCAATCCTTTTCGTGGACACCAGTGACGTTCACCGCCGCGAAAGCGGGCAATTGGGAGTTTCTTTGAGGGTTCGCCCCTCAGCAAATCCTTTTGGGAAGCTCAAGCTCACCATACATGCCATCAATTTCATTGCAAGTAAGGTGTACGTGAACCATCATGTACCTACAGGTGTGCGCACCTTGATGGGCTCTCCATCCTTTAGAGATCACCTCAAGTTCCAAGTCCACACTTCTGCGCCGCCAACCCTGCCCAATCACCGCTGGGGCTGCCACAATGCCGCAGGCCACACCTGCGAAATGCTTCATTCGGCAGCGCCATTGGAGATACCTCGCAAAACCCGGAGAAAACATAGAGAAGCTCTATCGCGGATGCGAGTATCTTGCGGCACGGTGCCGAGAGTGGCGTCCATCGGCGGGTTTTGGGTCCGAGACGGGATGAAGTGGGTGGGATGGCGCGAGCGGCATATTCACAACACTGAATTAGTTTGGATTCCTACCAGGACACCCGGAAGGGGTGTCGAACTTGATAGCCCCGAAAAGAGGTTAAGGGATGTCCATCAACCACCCTTGTGGGTCCTAGTATATTAGCCATATATTACTTAGCCATGATGCTTGCTAAGGGGTGGCCACGTGGAAGATCTCTGTCCTTTCGAGAATTAGGTATGTGTCACCGTGTCACGTTGGTTCTCGCATGACAAAGGGTTACCGAAAACAAACCATGTTCTCTTCAATGTTCAAAGCCTGAGACCTTCCAGGACTGCTGGACTGGTTGAACTTGTGAAATTCAAATCTGAAGATCCTTAAACACCGTTAAAAACAACTCTCAGAGGTGGATTGCTTGGTATATGCTGATCTACTGTTAGTTTTCATTTCTTGATAGGAGGGGGCAAGAAAAGACATGTGATGAAAGAAAACTTATATAAATCCCCATAAGAAGAAACGCTTTTACAAAGCATTTCTGGAAATGTCCTCGTGAATGAGTCTAAAGCTATAATTAGGCTATACTAGGACCCACAAGGGGTGGTTAATGGACATCCCTTAACCTCTAAGGGGCTATCAATAGATACCCCTGGTCCGGGTGTCCTGGTATGGCTATACTCATATACCATGCTCTACTCCCAGCACTGCTGCTCCCAGCACTGCGGCTCCGGACGCTCGGACGCGCTCCAAGGGGCCTTTCTCCATGCCTTCGCGTACGGTTTTTGTTGCGTCACGAGCCGGGATCTCGTGAGGGGCCGAAGCATCAGGTAGGGGGATTCAAAGGTGATCATCAGCTGGCAGATCCAAAGGTCCAGATAACACAGTGGGATAACATAGGCCCAAAGGCATCCAAAGGCCATGAAGTCGACAGGAGCTAGCCGCAAGTTGTGCTGTAGCACTGTAGCCTCACCAACTGGCCACACTGTCGACCAAACCGGTGGACCAAATGCACCAAAACAAGGGCACTGCCCAAAGCTTTGTGTGATGTCCTCCAAACTGAACTGGTTGGTGTTTTCAACCCACTTGAAAAATATGAGTCAGAGGGTCCAATCATCCCCAAGTAAGGGTTGAAAATAAACATATCCGAAACCATCACCTAGTGAACTGTTTTCTTGGGTAGTCTTTTTTTGGCGACCTCCTCCAGCTCCAGCTGCCAAATCTTCTTCATGGTTTGGCGCACCGGAATGCTGGGGTGATTGGGGAATAGGTCCTTCTTGAAGCGAAACGTATCTCAGCTTGTGACGGTGTTCATACGCTTTGCAGTCAACTCAGGGTGGAAGTATTACATCATATTTCTTGAGGGAGTTGGTATACGAGGACTGTTTACACCAAGGAGGATGTGTGACTCTTCTGCCTCAGGTGGTGCTTTTAATCTTCAGCCGTGCACAACGGGTGCAAGGACACGCCCCGCCCTCATCATTGCCCTTCTGTCGTGAGACGTGAAGTCTGAACCTCGAAGAGCCATGATCCATCCTATTTAGATCATGCCAAACAGTTAAATATAGTACTAGGACCTGGTTCTTCAAAGTGACCTTTTCATCCCTGGGTTTAAGGTCACGAACAGGCCTGTAAAAGGTCACTTAGAGACTCCCCAAAGGTCACTTGGAAGAAGCTGGGACTGATCAGTCAGTTAAGTGCTGAAACACTGATTTTCCGCATCCAACCGATGTTGGACCAACGACCACCACCGCCGTTGTTCTGGACGTCTTCGCCTGCCTACGAGCGCCGCATCACAGCCCGGCCAGGCTGGCAGAGGGCCCGGCTGGCGCGGTCGCGGCGCGGTCAGTGAGGTTCCTTTTGCTTCCTTTTGATGGTTGGATGTGCTACGGAGATCTACCGGGTGCGAGCGAGTGAGCGAGTGTGTGTTCTGTTTCTCACCGGTGCGAGAAACAAGGCTTCAAAGGGATGACCAGTGAAAGTTCACAGGGACGAAATTGCCTCAGGAATTTAACAAAAAAGGACAAACAAACTCCAAACACTCCATGTATGGATTATAATAATTATGGGTTACAGTATATAATATATGAAACTATATAATGATTACAATATATTACATATTGGATCATATTGGAAACGATCACTTGCACAAGACTCAATTTTTTCCGATTCGAACGGCGACCCTTTCGTTGTGACATCGAACGGATCGGAGCTTTTGGGCTTGGAGCCCTGCATTCACCACGAGTTCCAGCAATGTTCCACCCTCCCAAAAGAAAGGAACTGGCTTAGCCTCCCTGCAACCAATGGAAATGGACAATGGCCCCTGGAATAGAACACCTGATCTACAAACAGCGGGTCTCCGTGGATAAACGGAAAACATGCTCTGAAGAAACGAGCCGCAGAAACATGCAGAAACCTCTGTGCAACCGCTTCGATGGTCGGGCAAGCTGCGGCTTTGCATATCTCACGATCTGGTAGATCCGGTAGCGAGTCAGTCAAGTCAGTCGTGAGGGTTGCTAAGGGATCACTATATTGGCAATTGGAGCAGTATGGAATGGTCGTCCTGCAGTTCCAAGCTGCGGTGGTTTGAAGTCCCTGAGTCCACCCCGACCTTCCTCCAAACAGGCACCCAACTCCATGGAACGGTTGGACGAGATGACCATGTTTGGATTGTTACTGAACTGTGAAGGCCTCAGGAGATTGAGCAGGCTGTAAGAGGAGCCATGACCTGGAGCCTGGAAACCTTACATTGGGCTACTTTAGGAAGGGATGATGAGAGGATTGCTGCCACCCATTTTCTTCAACCAATTCCCTCCATTTCCCTCCAATCCCTGTTCCTTCATGTTCCTTCGCTCTGCCGATTTACAGAACCGCTGGTGGCTCTTTCGCTGGCGCATCTCTTTTGGGCTCGAGCGTGCGGCCGTCCTACCGCGGTCAAGTCTATCCGTGAAACTTCACCCCAGTGGATCTGTTCTTCAGCTCGGCGCTGTGCGAACCAACCCGTGGAGCACCCGTGACGGCGGCCCCCGCCCCGGCCGGACTTGGTGGGACATCTCAAAAGGCCTTTCGGCAGGTGCGCAAACATCAAAAAGAGGACCGGCTGGTGCCGGCTGGTTTGGGGAAATGAACTCAACATCAATGCTGTTTGGCTCTACTTCGTACAACGAAACTTCACATTCTTGACTTCCGGAGCAGCAACTGCTACACGGCAAGTCTGTCTCTTCTGTTGCTATTGAGGGTCATACATCTGGGAGTCGTGCGAGCCTAAATCTATCTACCCAGGTTCAAGGATGTTGATTCATCGGATACACTGCAGCTTTCAGTTCAACAGACCCACTGCGGTCGCACCCAGTTCTCTCAGCCGGCAGGGCCGCGTGTGGCCCTGAAACACCCTGGCAGGACCCGGTTCCTCGTGGTGCCTCGGCAGGACCCGGTTGCACCGCCGGGCGTCCCGTGCCGCGCTCCCAAACAACGGCGGCTCGGTGGCCTGAGATAGGCGGTTTAGGTGAGACCTTGTTCGGACGGCGAAGCTGGATGGGGTGGTCTCGTCGCTGTTGTGTTCAACTCTTCAGCACCCGCTGAAAGGTGGTGCTAACATTCAAGAACCCTTTGGGTGCTCCCTGATCCAATGCCCAGCTGTTCAACAGGAGAAACAGGTGAAACGCTGAAACTCATCCACCAGCTTCTTCAGTTTGTGACCTTTTTTGGAGTCTCTGTCTGTGACCTCAAACCCAGGGATGAAAAGGTCACTTTGAAGAACCAGGCAACTTTCATGTGAATGCGTTTTCCACCTCTTTGTCCCAACAACACCAGAAACGGCCACACTTGCGATGCCTGGGCTCCGCAACGAAACGCATCACTGTCGGTTCCGAGGTTATGATGAGATGCCACACCGGTCTGACGGTGTCCCCGTCGTGGCCGAGGCGCCACCGTTGGTGCCGATCAATCCTTCTTAGCCACCTGAACGAGCCATTCCATACCTTCTTGTAAGCCATCACCTGATGCGGTGTGCGAAGACGTGCACTTGCGGTGCAGTGTGCGAAGACGTGCTCTGCCTGCTCTCCAGGTCAGGAGGAAAAAGACCAATTGATGCTTAGTATGTTTCTTTCAGAGACATGATGACATGGGCATCATCGGCTGGGTGACACATGTCATGAGTGTCTTTCGACTGCGCCGATGGATCGTATTGTTGCATCCTTTTACTCAGCAGCTAACTGAGGCGTCCCTCGTGTCAACGCATCCCCATGGACCCGAAAAAACGGGGCATGGATTTATATGGGTTTGAGCGGAAACCACTAGGATCACCGGCCGCAACCTCACAATGTCTATATCAGCAATCCTGCATGTGAACTTGTACATGCAGTGACCTTCCAAAAACGCGCTTCTTTTCCTTCCTCTCCCGCTTCCTCTTTTGAATCCACTGTGGTTCCTTCCTTTCATTCACCATCTACCCTAAACCCTAAACCGCCAGTCCTTCACCGGGCCCCGGCGGCCCCCTTGGCGGACCTCGCCTGTCTTAGCACTGCAGGCTTGGATCTGCCACACGCGATCCTGAATGCCTTGGAGCCCCAGGACCTCGCTGATCTCGTCCGCCGGGGTGGCGTGCATCAAGTCCTGCTTGTTGGCATACCTCGAGTCTGCGCCGCGTCAGACGCCGCGCCCGAGGACAGAACCGGTGCTCCTTTGAGATGTTTTTTTTTGTGCAAGAAGTGATCCAAAACAATCAAAAACACAGTGTTTTACAGTGATTTTTGGCTAAAACATCACCAAAACCTACGTTTTCAGTTATTTTTAGATCAATTTTGTGAGGGCCAGGCCTGTAACAGTTTTGAGGGAATACTACAAAACACCAAAAAACAAAACAACCTCGCTCTGAGGAACCAAATGGTTAAGGTGAACGGGTCAAAACAACCCCCTGCAAGGAAAAACCCTGCAAGACGGTGTTTTTAGAAGCACTGGAAAGTCGTCTGACGGGTCGCAAGGGAACTTAGAGCTGCAATTCAAAGGAGAAATCTGAAAGGAGGGCTTGCCATCCTATGGGATGCCAATCACTCACTCTGGACACAAACAAACAATCTCTAGGAAAACTATTGTGATTCCTCATGATTCCTCTACATTCCTCTTGGAAAAGCAGGCGTAGCAAAGTTGAGAACAGGTCTTGCCCCAATGTTTGCTTCTTCCAATATTTTTGAAGGGGATTCGGAGTTTAACTCTTGTTGAGCCGTAGCCCATGTCTACCAGCCTTGTGGGGAATCATCGAGGGACTTACGGCGTTTTTCAAGGCCAAACCCGGCACATCTCCGCATGCCATGTGAGTACAAACGAACTCATAAAGACTTATCGTCTCCGTGAACATCAGAACTCAACGAGGTGGTTTCTTCCTTCTCCGCATGCCATGTGAGTAATTAGGGTAAACACATCTTTTCTGCTTGACAGGGTCTTTTGACGGTTCTTCAGTTCCTTTGCCGCGGCCGGTGTGATGTCCAACTGACCGGAGCTGACCGTCACGGTGGCGTACGGCCGCTTCCCGTCCACATGGGCAATGCAGCAATGCTGTCAAAGTGACACCAGCATAGGGATCCTTGGATGCTGACGATGAGTATTACTTATACATACATACATGACATAACATTACATTACATTACATTATTACATTACATTATTACATTACATCATTACATTACGTTTACATTACATTACATTACATTACATTGCATGCATACATACATACATACACATACATACATGAAATACGGAGAAGAAGTAACGAAACACGAAACACGCACCAGGACCTTTCAAGGGAGTGCTGGTTGGAGGGATACTCAGCACCTTTGATGCTTGAATTCTTTAATCAGGATGACCTGGTCGGGGTGACCGACCAGTCGGTCCTACATTGCTTTTGCGTGACTTCTTCAGGACATCAAGGAGAAAGAATGAGGGTACACCAGATCTCTGTAAGACGCTATGCGGACCTTGGTTGTAGGTCAAAACCAGGGGACCTTGGTTGACCACCAAGAATTAACAGAATAGACTACAAGGGATGTCAACCTACCAGTTTGGCCTTTTTAGGTTTTCACTCACAGCCATATGGGTCATATCTATTTTGGTCTTGGAGCTTAGAGCCGGCAAATGGTGTGTCGGTCACATGGAGGTATTTCTGAATCTTGCAGGAACATCAAACCCAACCGAAAACCCTCACTGACTGCCGTTCTTTGGTTGGATACTCAGTTCGGTTTTAAGTGGGTGGAGTGATAAATAGTGAACACAATCCATGTTTGAGATTGGTTCGTTGACCGTTGATGTGGTCACCAAACCGACGAACAGAAACCACGCCAGTCCAGGAAATCAGGAGGCCTCAGCATGGCCGAAGAGTGACCACCGGTGAACAGCCCAATGTCGATTTGTAGTTTCAGGCGAAATTCTTCTCATTCAAAATCCCCTAAGAATCCGGGCCCTCAAACAAGGTTTTTTTGAGGTCGGGTCCGACCCCAATGCCATGGACAGCCCTCAAACAGATTCTTAGGATGGTTGAAATCAGAACATGCCAACTCATGTGGCTTTATCAGGGCCATCTCCAACGCCTCACGTTTTCCTCCAAACGGATCCCTTCCTTTCTCAGCCCTGGCCTTCCTGGGGATCGAACTGGGAAGTCTCACTCATTGATATAATTATTGCTGCACCCATTGATGC